CTTGCTAGTGTGCGCTAAAGGTTCTCTAGTCTAGTGCACAGAACTAGATTAAAATGCACTATGGAACCTTTAGTGCACACCAGCAGGATCTACACCGACCAAGTAATGAGCTGCACATCCGTGTGCTTCAGAAATGACACCCAAGAAGAACGCATCACCGCACTGTGTGGACATGCCCTTAGAGGCTTTTGAAAACATTCCCTTAATCACTAGAGCTTACCTCCAAAAAGGTTTCAGAGTAGCTGCCGTGTTGGTCTGTATTTGCAAACAGAAAAGGAGTACTTGTGGCACCTTAGAGACTAACCAATTTATCTGAGCATAAGCTTTCGTGAGCTACAGCTCACTTCATTGGATGCATCCAATGAAGTGAGCTGTAGATAAATTGGTTAGTCTCTAAGGTGCCACAAGTACTCCTTTTCTATCTCCAAAAAAACACTACTTTTTTTTGTAAACTGCCTTTTATACAAAAATCAATCATAGCCAATAACAAATTCCTAGGCATCAAATACTGAAAAATCACCTTAACAAAGAAAGACGTTTGGAGGGTATTTGCCAACATCACAGAGTAGCCAAACAGGTGACAGTTGTTCTCTTTTCACCTGTTTTACTCGGGAGAGAAAAAGCTTTCAGATCCATTGGACTAAAGGATTTGGGTACTTTGGTAGCTAACCAGATTCTTGACTGCAGTTCATCTCTCCTTTGTTAAACTAAATTAGCAAACATTTCATCTTCAGTTCAAATGCTAATTGAATACTGCCATGGCAGAGTATCAATTGTTTGTAGAAAATTAAATTAAAGATAAATTACAGTGATGAAGTGGCAGATTTAAGATAAGAAAATTCAAAATTAAGGCTTTCACTTTGTCCCTAACCTATAATACTGGGTTTTGTTATTTCAAGGAACTATATATTTTTACTTCAATTGTGCAAGTTATTGCAGAACATATGAGTTACAGATAGTGAAGGTATAACCATGAAATTCTTGGATTTTGTCTTTTTAAATCAGGCCAGCAACATCAAAAATAAAACAATGGCATCTGTGAGGGGTTTTTTTTGTTTGTTTGTATTTTGACAGGATAGAAGAGAACAAATAATTTTCACTATGGTCCATATCTAGTCTGGTAATCTTCTTGATCAGACAAAATGCAAACAGTAATATGATTATTTCACAGACATTAGAGGTTTCTTAAATGTGCTTAGACCATTGTTTTCATAATGAATAAGAACATAGCCATATGTAGAAGCATAATATACCATTTCTGTGACACAAGTTCAAGAGCTGCCTTCAAACTTCAGATCCTCAAGGATAGGTTTTGGTTTCTGATTAAAAGGATGTACTGTTTATCGTTCCTTTGCACTCAACACTGGCTGGTTACTAAGTTGCCCTACAAAAGATCAGCTGGGCATTTCTAATAACTCTCACAATATAAGAACAAGGTGACACCCAATTAAATTTAAAGGCAACAAATATATAGCTGAAAAAAATGTTTTTTAAATACACACTATATGCAGGATTAAACCATGGAACTCATTACCACAAGATTACTGCACAATAGCAGGGACAGCTATGAATGAGGTGGAATAAAGGTCATTTAGGAATGGGAGATGTTGGTGAAAGATTGTGAACTCTTGGGGCATGTACTGTCTTTTTTTCCCCCTCTGTGTTTCTACAGTGCCTAACATAACAAGATCATTGTTCATGGTGCTATCGTAACACAATAATAAATAATAATTCTCCAGGATCTCCCACCTGGAGCTGCTAATATCTAAACTGCCTTTGAATGGCTAACAACCTTTTGTGAAATATATTCTGTATTTTTTAGGGAGAAAGAAGCAGCAGTAAGTTAATGGCATAAGAAAAAAAACTACGTTAGAATATCAGGATGCATCTAAAAATCATAAAAATAAAAAGGCGTGTAAGATTATATAAACCTTCCATCAGTTAAGCATTTTATACATTAACGTTAAGAGAAAAGAGGCTCATCCTTTTACTTAAAGTTTAACCTGGTGGAAAAAGACCACAATTATATGTCCCCAGAGCTCCCACTCAACTCCTTGGGAATTTACTCAAACATTATGTTAATGAGCATGGTATAAATACCTAGATACAGTAACTGAAATACAAAAACGGATCTCTGAAACAGAAGAAGCAGGATATTTATTTCTGTATATCCTGAGTATTATTCACAGCCCTCCAGGAACAAATCTTATCCAAATCAAGGAGGAGAAGTAGCTGAAGTTGAGCAAATATTTGTATGTTGGCAAGCAAAACTATCCCATCCTTCCCTCACCTGAAAAATTATCTGTTAATTGTCTGAGCAGCAACACCCAAGAGAGCTAAACAGTAATTTTAGGCGATGAATTCAATGGTCTCAGGTCCCATGTTGAGAATGCAGTACTAGCTGATTTTAAAAAGCCATGCATGCCCCTTCCCTCCTCCACCCCCCGCCAATGTTTTCCCTGTGAAGTGAGTATGAAATTCTACATTGTCCCTGAGATACTTTTCAAAACAGAACTGAATATTAGCTACATAATATTACTTTTTTAATCTATTTTTTAATCTGGAATGTATCTCTAAGGAAAGAGGTCAGCCTACCTTACCTACCTCTGATGATCTTGGTAATCCATCAATAAGGATAATATCAGTTTTACTGGCCAGACAGGAGGAAGCAATTACTAGATATTTGTGTGAGCAACAGGAAATAGAGATCGATATAACTGTGATAACTGCATAGGGATTCATGCAGTTCTAGGGGCGAAAAACTCTTGAAAGGCTATGCATTTTCAAGATGACCCCTCAACTTGGTTTCTTTTAATTTTGCTAAATCTGCATCCAGAAAGGGTTCAGAAGACATCATTTTAGGGAGATTCAGAGTCCAGAGGGCTGATCTACAGAGGCTGAGGGCTGTGTTTCATGTATGGCAGCGTTGTGTATAGAGGACAAGGAAAAGTCCCTAAAAAATTAACTAATCTAGCTCTGATAATCTAAGAACTACATACAACAGAACTATAGAAAAGGCAATAAGGGTCTGTAACAGATCCAGACACAATAAGAGGCTCCTTGTATGTTATCTGCAACAACAGAACTGAGGGTTAACCGTTTTCTTTCCCTCTGCTCGTAATTATATCGACTTTGTGCATACTTTATTTGTGTCAACCCAAAGATGTAATAACTGTTTCCTCAAGTCTATCCAATCAGGTATGTATTACCAGTATCAATGAATTATAAAGTTCATCATATAAATCTGGTAGGTTGACATCTTTCCCTTGCTAACCAACTGGGATATAAGAGCAAATATGAAGAGCTTGTTTACTCCCCGATTTTCTGCTGCTATGAATTCTGTTTCGAGATGGATCATAAACAGGACTAACTTCCTCATAATCTTGTGGATTTACAACAGAGTCAATCAATGGAGCCAAATTATCTATATTAATCAGCATTCCAAAACTGTCTCCAGTGGGTGAATGATGCGTAAAGTTTGGCTAGAACATTGGAGCTTCTAATTTCAATTGAAGCACAGACCAAATATCATCAGGTCTACTGGTAGCTATTGGTCATTGTGCAGCAGTGTTTGGGATCCTCACTCCTCCTTTTTTAAAAGTTTGAACCTCTTGTAACAAAACCCCTAAAGGGTTGAATCCAGCACCTCTGACTCTAAAAGCATGAGCCTCTAGTGCTTGACCTAAAGGACTGAGTCCATTAGCTTGGAGGCAGCAGCCAAATCAAGTCTCCATATATGGTCTAGCCACTAGAGGGGAACACAGAGAAATGCTGTTAGCATGTGTTACAAGACAACACTATTAAACTTCACTTACAAATTTATTATATACACATTTAACCATTACTTCCTCAAACAGTGAATGAGACCCAATTTTATTTAAATTGTAACATTTATGTTTGTCAATATATTGTTTCCAAGGGCACTGGATTCAATTTTTTTACCTAACGTGTTTTCAACGTTTGAGGATCTTTCTTTCTCATTAGACATTTTAAATCATAGAATCATAGAACATCAGGGTTGGAAGGGACCTCAGGAGGTCATCTAGTCCAACCCCCTGCTCAAAGCAGGACCAATCCCCAATTAAATATAATATAAATATATAATCCTATTTTAAAAGATTAATGCTAAAGAAAATTTGTAGGGAAAATAATGAAAATGACAGTTATTTAAAATGTAAGACAATTTTCTTTAAAGGTACAGTAATATTAAGACTACCATAAACCTACAGTAGTGGAATGTTGAGAACTTTTATATTTTTCATATAGTGAACAAACAAGAGGACCAGGTACCTCCACATTCTGATTGTTTTTATCCTCTCTTTTTGAGCATAACAGGAAAAATACTGAAAGGCTAAAAAAGTACAAAAGTAGTTTTAATACAAATTAAATAATTTATCAATACATTTTTGCCATAAAAATAGATTTAGACACTTTAGACACATAATAAAACGACACATAGTTGTGCAACAGATAAGACACAACAGACCAAATTCTGCTCAGTTACACTTGTGCAATCCTTTGAAAGCAGTGCAGTTACAAGAGAAGCTGTGCAGAACTTGGCCCATTAATATCAAGGAAAGATTTGATAGCTTTTATAAGAATTCAGCCACACTATGGCAAGGCTACAATTGAAAGGAAAATCCATAGTTTCTATTACTATTTAGTTTAGACATTCAACCAGAAAGTGGGAATTGATGAGTTCTCATAGTAGTTGTGCTTTAGCTATTAACACAGAAGCAAATAAATATCTATTAATAAATATTCACAATATTGGATTACTGTGGAAACGGTGGTTCTTTTGACCACCAGATGTGACATTAGCTATAACTGAGAAATATAGAATTGAAAAATAGCAAATCATATTTAATAACTACTGTTTTTAAAATGCTTACTCAAAAATATTTTACTTAACATACTTTAAACAGCCCTTTACTGCTCTACATTTTGCCAAAACAAATACTAGGAAGTTAAGAAAATTGATCATCTTTTCAAGTTGTTACCTCAACAATATCCGAGTTGGTTCTGCTCTCATGGGGTTCATTGTATTCTGTGTATTTGAGTAGAACTTTGTCCATATCAGTGCTGGCATACTGAAAGAGTTTGTTAGAGCTGTTAAAAATGATGAGTGCTATTTCACAGTCACAGAGCACACTAAGTTCGTATGCCTTCTTCATTAATCCAAATTTCCTCTTCGTAAAGGTCACCTACACAAGGAAGAAGAGTGGAGGTTTTTCAAATGACAGAACAAAACTTTGAATGCCTATAATTAACACATAAAAAGGAGTGTCAGTTGATAGCTGGCACTTTAAACTTCTAGTAACAAGACATCTACTATAAGCATGCAGTCAAGTTTAACATTCACTGTGAATTCTCATTTCTCCTACTCAAATATACGGTCATGTCATTAACACAGTGTTATACAAGTGAAATAGAAGTTGATGGGAACAGTATCTTCTACTAAAACCATAACTATACAAGAGCCAAACTCTTAATTGTAATAAACAAAATTAGTCTACTAAAAAAACTGCTAAATGGATCTGTCCCTAGAAACTGTAGAGCCCAGATATACTGAGAGGGTCATACTTGGTGAGCTCTTTATAACTGATCCATGTAGTGATGTTATCCACTTACCCCTCATTGTCACTGAAAATTAAGATTTTAATTAGGGCTGTTTAACTGCAGTTAACTCACACAATTAACTCAAAAAAATTAACTGCAATTAAAAAAATTAATCACAATTTATCACACTGTTAAACAATAGAATACCAATTGAAATTTATTACATATTTTTGGATGTTTTTCTACATTTTCAAATATATTGATTTCTTTTACAACAGAAAATACAAAGTATACTGTAATCCCTTTATATTATTTTTTATTACTGTAAAATGTAAAAATGTAAAATGATAAAGAAATAGTATTTTTCATTTCACCTCATACAAGTACTGTAGTGCAATCTCTACTGTGAAAGTGTAACTTACAAATGTAGATTTTTTTTTTGTTACATAAACTGCACTCAAAAAAACCCAAAAAACCAATGTACAACTTTAGAGCCTCCAAGTCCCCTCAGTCCTACTATTTGTTCAGCCAAGTGCTAAGACAAACAAGTTTATTTACATTGACGGGAGATACTGCTGCCTGCTTCTTATTTACAATGTCACCTGAAAGCGAGAACAGGAGTTCATATGGCACTTTTGTAGCCAGCGTTGCAAGGTATGTACATGCCATATATGCTAATCATTCGTATGCCCCTTCATGCTTCAACCACATTCCGGAGGGCATGATTCTATGCTGATGATGTTTGTTAAAAAATAATGCGTTAATTAAATTTGTGACTGAACACATTGGGGGAGAACTGTATGTCCCCTGCTCTGTTTTACTCGCATTCTGCCATATATTTTATGTTATAGCACTCTCAGATGATGACCCAGTACATGTTGTTTGATTTACAAACACTGTCACTACAAATCTGACAAAATGCAAAGAAGGTACCAATGTGAGATCTAAAAATTGCAACAGCACTCGACCCAAGGTTTCAGAATCTGAAGTGCTGTCCAAAATCTGAGAGGGACGAGATGTGGAGCATGCTTTCAGAAGTCTTAAAAGAGCAACATTCAGATGCAGAAACTACAGAACACGAACCACCAAAAAAGAAAATCAACCTTCTACTGGTGGCATCTGACTTCGATGATGAAAATGAACATGCATTGGTCCGCTCTGCTTTGGATCATTATCGAGCGGTACCCGTCATCAGCATGGATGCATATCCTCTGGAATACTGATTGAAGAATGAAGGGACATATGAATATTTCGCACATCTGGCACATAAATGTCTTGCGACGCTGACTACAACAGTACCATGCAAACGCCTGTTCTCACTCTTAGGTGACATTGTAAACAAGAAGTGGGCACTATTATCTCCTGCAAATGTAAACAAACTTGTTTGTCTAATCGATTGACTGAAGTAGGCTCTAAAGTTTAACATTGTTTTATTTTTGAATGCAGTTATTTTTTTAATACATAATTCGACATTTGGAAGTTCAACTTTCATGATAAAGAGATTGCACTACAGTACTTATATTAGGTGCATTGAAAATACTATTTCTTTTGTTTTTTACAATGCAAATATTTGTAGTCAAAAATACATCCAAAGTGAGCACTGTACCCTTTGTATTCTGTGTTGTAACTGAAATCAATATATTTGAAAATGTAGAACACATCTAAAATATTCAAAAAAAAAGACATTCTACTATTGTTTAACAATGCAATTAATCACGATTAATTTTTTTAATCGCTTGATAGCCCTAATTTTAATATACATAATGGAAAAGTATGGAAAGCAGAACAAAAGTTGACAAAATCAAATGCCTCTATGTTGATTTTTATATCATTTTATATTTAAATACTCTGAATATACATTCACTTTGTTCAATATTTCTTATTCTTTCAGTTATCTTAGAATGGGAACTGCAAGCACTTTGATAAATAGATAAGAAAAATGCTCTCATTTCATGGTCGCTTTAGTGTAAGTTCCTCTATGCCCTCAGCTATTGTGGAACAACAATTCCCTTCACTCAAAGAAACAGATACACAGACAGTAACCATTTACTAGGGGAACCTTGGATTACAGAACAGCCATGCTGCTCATGCTGCAGTATATTCGGACAGGGGCCCTTTTTATATCACAGGTCAGGTACTTAAATGAGGTAAAATGCTGAAAAAAGCTTTAATCCTAGACTTACAAAATACAAAGGAAAATTCTTGGTACGTTAATGCTCTATAAAAAACATCAGTGTCTTCAAAGAATCTTGTGTATTATAGGTAGCTGGAAGGCAAGGGCAAGAGAACCACCACCAAAACCATGCTGAAATGTATACCAGCAAAATAAAAAAAACAAACATTTTTAAACAATAAGGCATACATTCTCAAAGTTGTGTGCTGAGATTTAGTTGCATGATCCCTATTGACTTCAGCTTTGGGTAGGAACATAGATGCCTGATTCCTGCTGAAGGGAACTGGAGTTCAGAAAACAAAAGAAACATTAATAGTATCATAACACCTTTCTCTCCTTAAAGCTGAACCTTGTTAACCAAAATACATAGCTTTCTCTATTTTCAATTTTAGGCAACTTTAAGGAAATATTTTTCATCAGTGGAAATTCATTGCTCACTTTCTCTTCCTTTATGTTTTTCGGTAAACCATAAAGGTGTTAAAAAAGCAAGATTTACCAAGTCTATCAAGGGCTCTGAAGAAATATTCCCACACTATATCATATTCCTCATTACATAACATAAGAACAGCTATACTGGGTCAGACCACTGGTCCATCTAGCCCAGTATCCTGTCTCTGACAGTGGCCAAGCCATATGCTTCGGAGGGAATGAACAGAACAGGGCAATTTTGAGTGATCCATTCCCTACTAGGGTACGTCACAGCTATAGCCTGCACTAGTTGATGGCCATCAATCATCATATAGTTCTGCCATCTTAAGAGTTTACAGACTCCACTTTGGACCTATAAATTGCTATGTTTCACTTAGCTGACTGTCACAGAAGGCTGTGGCTGGAAGGGCAAAAACATGAAACACTATCCAATACTTTTGGTTTGCCAATGTTAATTGAAGCCTCAATCCTAGATTAATACAAATTCAGCTCGCCAACCTATGATCATTCTCCCACATTGTGAACATTGTAATGGACTTGCCCTCAGACCACCACTTGAAGATGAAGCAGTTACACTAAGGTAGATTTTTTTTTTAACCTAGTGGACAGATCTGCCAAAAGTAATTTAACTCATTGTATTTTACCAAATGAAATGCTATTATGTGCCATTTATTATTCAGGCACCTGAAATTTTAGCTAAAACTCAGAGACAACAAACAGAACTTTTTTGGGTGGAGGGATAGCTCAGTGGTTTGAGCATTGGCCTGCTAAACCCAGGGCAGTGAGTTCAATCCTTGAGGGGGCCATTTAGGGGTCTGGGGCAAAAATTGGGGGTTGGTCCTGCTTTGAGCAGGGGGTTGGACTGTGGTCCCTTCCAACCCTGATATTCTATGAACTTCTGGGCTTCCATATGATGCCATGATCAAGCACTCAACACAAACAGGTTTCAGAGTAGCAGCCGTGTTAGTCTGTGTCCGCAAAAAGAAAAGGAGGACTTGTGGCACCTTAGAGACTAACATTTATTTGAGCATAAGCTTTCGTGAGCTACAGCTCACTTCATCGGATGCATTCAGTGGAAAATACAGTGGGGAGATTTATAGACACAGAGAACATGAAACAATGGGTGTTACCATACACACTGTAACGAGAGTGATCAGGTAAGGTGAGCTATTACCAGCAGGAGAGCAGGGGGGAAAAAACCTTTTGTAGTGATAATCAGGGTGTTGATTTCAGACCTAAAAGTGGCAATTCTTCAACAAAAAAACTTCAAAAACAGACTCCAACGAGAGACTGGTGAATTGGAATTAATTTGCAAACTGGATACAATTAACTTAGGCTTGAATAAAGATTGGGAGTGGATGGGTCTTTACACAAAGTAAAACTATTTCACCATATTTATCCACCCCCCCCCCCCCGGTTCCTCAGACGTTCTTGTCAACTGCTGGAAATGCCCCACCTTGATTATCACTACAAAAGTTTTTTTTCCCTGCTCTCCTGCTGGTAATAGCTCACCTTACCTGATGACTCTCGTTACGGTGTGTATCGTAACACCCATTGTTTCATGTTCTCTGTGTATATAAATCTCCTCACTGTATTTTCCACTGCATGCATCCGATGAAGTGAGCTGTAGCTCACGAAAGCTTATGCTCAAATAAATTTGTTAGTCTTTAAGGTGCCACAAGTCCTCCTTTTCTTTTTGCGGATACAGACCAACACGGCTGCTACTCTGAAACCTGTAATATAGAGATAACTGATTACCTTACACAAGCGTTGTGATTCATAGATTTTAAGGCCAGAAAGGACCACTGCGCTCACCTAGTCTGTTTTGTGGAACACAGACCAGAGGACTTCTCTGAATTAATTCCTGTTTGAAGTAGAGCAGACCTTTTAGAAAAACATTAAATCTTGATACATACATACACATTGCCAGACAAAAAGCTATGATAACCATGTGACACCATGCAATAACCAGGAGTATGATTAATGCAGTTTAGCATTTGTGGTTATTAAATTAAATTCTTTTTAAAACAAACATTTGATTTT